TATATATTCTAATAAAAAAATAGTTTTATTCTCCTATTGACATGTATCACCATATTAAACCTCATAATTAATGCATATTTTATTTTTCTTTTGTCATGTGTTATTCTATTATGTCTCTTAATTAATGCATATCACTTGTCAACCTATTGATTCTCCATTTCAAATTTTAAATTTTAAATTTCCTATTTTAATTACATTAAATTAGTAAAATTAGAATAAAAATTAAAATAAAATTAATACAAATTATAAAGTGATATAATTTTACATATTTATTTAAATCAATGATTATAATTTTATATAACTAAAAAAATCTCTTAATTAATAATTTATTTAAAATAAGTGATTAATATTTTTGAGTTTTTACTATTAATGTGTAATTAATTTTGTAACCGTGATTTCCACGGGCTATAAACTAGTATATATATATTAGTCATTGAATGTAATAGGTGAAATTAATTTATTTTGGTTCAATTGGTAAAGTGGCGCCGGTTATGCTCCTTTCTATCCATCGATCAATGGGCGAATCTTGTTACCAACATTTTGTTGCTTTGTTTGTTATAAATCAGCTTTATGCATCTTTTCAATTTTCATTAATGAGTTCCAGCTTTTTTTTTCTCCTTAGAAGGCTAGAACCCATTATTAGTCCATTAAGTCTTGCCCATTATTTATTTAATTCATTAGTCCTTCAATTAAGTCTATTAGTAATTTAGTCTACTTAAATCAATTGGCGGTTCCTTTCCTCACGCCTGATTAAGATCACATTGGTAATTAGGCATCAACATTTAATCCTTATTCCCATTTTGTTTCTTAATCGGCAATTAGGCATCAACATCATCAGGTAATACAAGTTGTTAGCTGTTTCTTATTTGTTTAGTCCTTTATTTCTATGTTATTTTCGGTATTATATACTTTTTAATTCATTATTTGATTAACATTTTAACCCTTATTGAATCATAGTTATTGGCAAGGTTGTAGAACTCGCTACTAGGTACCTGCTCGGCCGACTACCGAGTAGCGAGTACTCGGGAGTACTCGGATTCGGTAATTTGTGTAGAAATATTTTTAAGAAAATTTTATATGTAAAAATCATAAGTTAAAATCATAATTTGATTGAAATATATAACAAAATTAGATACATGTGAATACATAAAACCTGAAATACACACAATTGTCTCAATTCGTGAATAATTACTGAAAATTTAAGATATATATATAGTAATAAGCACATGTGTGTGTTAAATAATAAATCATTAAGTGTATTATACATATTAATCTTGAAATTCTTGATTTTTTTTTCTCTTTTTATGACAATTTTGACCATTTGACCAAGTTTGACCGAATTGACCGAGTTTGACCGAGTTGGCCGAGTTTGACCGAGTAGGCCCGAGTAGGCCCGAGTTAGAGAGATATTGACCGAGTTTTGACCGAGGTTGACCGATTTTTGACCGAGTTTGACTTAATCCGAGTTTTTTTGCCAAGTTCACAAAACTCGCCTCGGTGGAGGGCCGATTCCGAGTACTTGGCCGAGTACTCGGCCGAGTAGGCCGATTTCTACAACACTGGTTATTGGTATATTTTTTTCAGAAATTATGCCTCATAAGTATCTATCTAGTTGTGAAAAACATAAAAGTAAAAAACGAGTCTCACGATACATGTAACTATGTAAGATCATACACTGTATTATCGTTCTTTTGTTTTAACGGTTTTTATAATAATTATTGACGGATCGTAGTATTAATTAACTTTTATTATATAAATAAAAAATATATTTAAAAGCCCATTTTTTTACTTTTCGCAAAGGCCTTTAAAATCAACGGATCGGCCCTCTGCATCATGTGTAAAACCCATGCTTACATCATAGAACGCCATAAAACATGTCTTTACTACATAAACATAACATCATTTTTGGCAATGAAAACATGTCAATGTATCCTTAAATCCTTCTTCGTGTAAAACATTTATATAGTACTTATATAGCTTAACTTTGATTTTGCTTCCAAGGAGTAGGTTTAGATAGTTTGCCGTTTCAAAAAAAAAAATGTATTGTATGTCTACTGTTTTGTCTTAGGTTTCTATTTAAGCTCAAAATGGCGTTTTAATCAACTTAAAGACTTATGTAACATTGAATTGGATTTTTTGTGGAAATGTCCACGTTAAAGAAACTTGATCTGTATATACACAAAACCAGTGGCAGTCACATAACATGTTCTAGCGTTTTGCTAAGTATATGTTTCACCACTAGTCTTTTGTACAAACTTTGAATGGATTAGAGTGCGACTTCAATACCATCATAGGTGTAAAAGGAAGTCTTTTAAATGTGCAAGATTTCTGAATATAAGTATTTCAATGATAATTTAATAGAAAGCCATGTTAGTACAATAATTTGATTTCTAAAAAGCCTTACTTTCCAATTTTGTAAAATTCAACTTGTGGTATGCTATGCCATGCATTTTCATATCCTCACAACATCATTAGCACCACGTGACATGTGTTTTTATGCCCTTAAATCAGCTAGCTCATGCTATTTCATAACAGTAGTATCAAAATACTTGGTTATATATGCCTTTCAATTTCTTGTTGGTTGTAGTTATGCCTTGCAACAAAGCATATGAGGTTTTTGAGTGTTTTAAATGTTCATAAGTTCAGAATGTTGAATAAAACATCCACATCCCTTGATATATATTTATAAGATATTTGATTGCATTACCTGTTCTTTTTGCTAACTTAATTGTACTTTCATTTCATGAGGGTTGAAAAGTTGAGAGTTGGTTGCCTAAATTGAAAAAAACCTGGA